ATGCAGGAGTCAGGGGGAGGGTTAGTAGGTGTGCGGGAGTGAACAAGAGAGAGTAAGGGAGAGAGTAATGGCTCCCGGACCCCTCCTCACCCCTGCCCCCAGCATGACGTACTGTGGGATGAAACACTCCCTTGGTCAGTTGGGGTCAGGTGCCTGAGCTGTGTGTCCCTGCGCTGCCTGTAGCCAGACAGCGAGAGCTGGGAACTTTGAGCGAGAGCTCAAACTTTCCTACATCGCTTTGTCCCGTTTCAGGCACGGGTCGAGGCGTCACCGGTAGCGTAAGCAGCGTGACAGCGCCTCTCACTGCGCCGGGGCGTGGTACCTGAGGTTGGTAGCTGTTGCTGATGGAGGAGGCCTCTTCAGAGTGAGGGGTGGGAAGGATTTCAAACCCAAAGCTGAGGTTTAGCAGGCTGCCTGCAGCAACGAGGGGTACCGGGAGTTATGGCAGCGTGCCCGAAGACCCGCCGTGGTCGCTCGCTCACCCGTGGCTCGCCCCGGTTCAAGGTGGGTTTTCTGATGGCAGGTCTGTGCCACAGCATGAGGGCTCTTCTTCCCCAGTGATGCAGGTGGGGGGAGAAGAGAAGGGGGCAGAGAGAAGTACGGCAGCGTCACCAGTGTTGTGCTGCATGTTCAGCACTTCATTCCACCCACTTCCAACGGCTCCAAGCTGCAGTGGTCTATAAAGTGACTAATTGACCACTCATTAGGCAGTGCTTAACTGTAATTCTTGTAACCAGTGATGCAGACATTTTCCCTCTGACTGTATTATCCACTTTAAAGGAAGAAGATACGTTTTATTTTCTTTTTAACAGGGAATTTAATTTACACACGAGTCTATTCCATGTGGTAATTTTCCTTGCTTCTTTTTAACACTTTGTAGGAAATAATGGACAGAATCTATAAAAACGTCATGAGTAAAGTTCAAGAGATGAACTACATTCAGAGAACTCTGTTCAAGATAGGCTACGACTACAAACTAGAACAAATCAAGCGGGGATACGATGCACCGCTGTGTAACGTGTAAGTACAGCCCGTGCTCCAAGCACACCTTTTTCCTTGTGTCAAGACAGGCGTCAGGCAGTTCTCATCCAACAGGCAGATTCATCCAGTGACTGACTGAAATAATCCAAGTTCTTACTGGAAACGGGCAAGATACTTGTAGGAATGACTAATCTTCAGAACAGCTGCCTAGTTAGTTGTCACGGGGTTGCTTTTTTTAGTAATAAAATTGGAATGTTTGTTGAGTGACGGGAATTCTGCCCTCTTCAAGTGTTACACAAGAGGTGGTGGTTTTGATGATCCCTGCTCTCCCCTCAGGTCTGTGAATGGGGGAGTTCTGAAGGTTTTCCAGATAGGAGAAGACGCAAACCTTCTTCCGTCCTAAAAGCGAGCTGAGAGAATGATTTTTAACGCTTTTTTCCCTTCTTCCAAGACTGCTGTTCAAAAAAGTCAAGGCACTGCTGGGCGGGAACGTCCGCATGATGCTTTCTGGAGGAGCACCACTCTCGCCTCAGACACAGAGGTTCATGAACATCTGTTTTTGCTGTCCTGTTGGTCAAGGCTATGGCCTAACAGAAACGTGTGGAGCTGGAACAATTACAGAAGGTACTTAAAATGCTTCTGAAAATACCAATTGACTTATATGAGGGTTTGGTGACCTTTTTTTTGTAAAGTCAAAATAGCTGTTAACTGCAGTAAAGTAACGAGATAAGCTACTGCCTTGTTTACAGTTTGAGTTTGTATTTCAAATGACAAAAGTCTCTGTGTTCTTCCTCGTTCCCTCCCCAAGTTGCCGATTACAGCACCGGCCGAGTCGGAGCTCCTCTGATTTGTTGCGAAATAAAACTGAGAGACTGGCAAGAAGGTGAGAGTCTGAAATGTTTTGATTTCAGAGTAACTTATTTAACCACTGCCTAGCCGATTCCCTTGCCTACCTGCTGAGCTAGGCGTAGCGTGGGAAGCAATCGTCCTTTGTCACTTGTGTGCAGTGACTTCGAGCTGAAGTTTCAAAATACCTTCTTGGCAGCAGAATAGATAAAAATAACGGTCTGTGGATTTTCTTCTTTTTTCAGGGGGCTATACTAATAAGGACAAGCCTAACCCTAGAGGAGAAATTATAATTGGTGGCCCTAACGTCTCAATGGGGTATTTTAAAAACGAAGAGAAGACGACAGAAGAGTTCTCCGTTGATGAGAACGGTCAGAGATGGTTTTGTACAGGAGATATAGGAGAATTCCATCCGGATGGGTGTCTGCAGATCATAGGTTGGCCTCAATTTTTCATATCTTAATCTATCACAAGATCTTGACTAAACATCATTATAAGGCCACTGTTAATCCTGTTGGCTTTGCCAGGGCTAACCTGCTCAAGGTTACGTGCTTGCAGACAGTGTAAAACACATTCCCAGAAGTCCTCGCAGCTGTAGGAAGATGTTGGAAGTGTTGCTGTTTCCTGTGCCATTATCGCCATCTTTAGGGCTTTAACTAGTAAATGTAAGATTAAATTTAATTACTTCGGAAGCTTTAAAATTGGAGTCTCCATCACTTCCCTATGCGCTGTGTGCGTGTCCTTGCAGAAGCCTCCGTGAAGCTGACAGGATACGTACATACTGCTAGCAGTTCTGCAGTTTTAGTAAGATGCTGTGATCCATATTTATGGAGACTCTTCCTGAAAATACACATATAGAAGCTTTACCAGTGAGTCTGTGGGAATGCAGGAGTTTAAATGGAACAACCTTTTTCTTTTCTTTCCTTCCCCCTTGACTCGTAGATCGTAAGAAAGACTTGGTGAAGCTGCAGGCGGGAGAATACGTATCTCTGGGCAAAGTAGAGGCAGCACTCAAGAACTGTCCCTTGATTGACAATATCTGTGCTTACGCCAAGAGGTAAGAGTGGTAGTAATTTACAAATTCTACTTAAGATCCAGAGGAAATACAAGCTCTGAGCCACTTCTCCGGTGATACACTCTAGTTTTGCATGGCTTCCACTGAACACGCTCCCTCACCAGAGCGCAGGTTACAGACAGTGTCTCTGAAGTAGCACAGGTGCCCAGATTCCCAAAACCTGCAGAAATGACCCAGGTTTTTCTGTTGGCATTTCTGCTATCCCAGTACGCTCTGGTTCCATGCCGTCCCTTCCCCAAACTAGTACTGTTATCTTAAGCATGTGTTTTGGCTTTCTGTCAGCATACCAGGGAAAAGATAATCTGGACACTTTGCGCCTGACCCAAAGCTCTTCACTGAGTTTGGGAAACAGTTGCGGTCTCTCCTCTCCCTCCCCTCAACGCGTCATGGGAAGGGAAGCTGAACCGTGGGTGTTGCTGGGAACCAGACCAAGATGTGCACTCGTGAAATGACAGCAAGGCACGATAGCGGTCAGAGCTAATGCTCCAAAACGACTCAGAATGCCTTTGCTAAGTCATCACTTATGGAGACTTAACGTGCAGGAAGGATTCTGTATGGGGGGAGAACTACACTGGAGAAAGTGCTGTGGGTCTGCGTGTCTAACAGCACGTGAGTGTTTTACTCCCTGCAACGGAACCCTCACCTGCTTGGATCTTGTTTCCCTTCTCTTGCCATCCCGCGGTAGCGACCAGTCTTACGTCATCAGTTTTGTGGTCCCCAACCAGAAGAAGCTGACGGCGTTAGCTGAGCAGAAGGGCATCAGCGGCACCTGGGTGGACATTTGTAACGACGCTACGATGGAAGCTGAAATACTGCGGGAGATCAAGGAGGTGGCAAACAAGAGTAAGTACAGCGGCACGTTGTGCCGGCCCATCTCGTGGGGCTTATCCAGCAAAACTGTTGGGTTGTCCGCACTAACTCCATCTTCCTGTTGCCTCTGCCAAAACTTAATAGTTTAATCAGAGACAAAGGCCACATCAAACTTTTGCCCATTATCCTGGGAATTTAAATACTTTTTGGTCATATTAACTACTTAGTCTTTTTTTATTTTCTAAACAAATCTGAGGTGTTTTACAGCTAACCCTGAGAGCCAGGTTGCTCGTCCAGTACAGTTAGCATAGAGCTCCAAAAGAGCTGTCAGCTTCTCTGTTTGTAAGCTGTCACTGAAGGCTGTACCAGCTCACAGCCTGCTGTGCCTTCCTGTGGTACTGAGCCATCAAAAGCCTCATCAGCCCTCATCAGGGCCAAACAATTAACAAACGAACCAGGGAAAAGAGTGTCTAAAGCACTTGGTACCTCGTACGAGGAAGCTCTAAAGCTGGACTCAAGCACACGCTGAGCACTGACTGTCGAGCTCCGGAGAGGAGAATCTGCCTTTTGAAACGGAGAAAACAAGAGTGAGAGGCACTAGTAAGTCTTGCCTTTAAGAAAAGTAAACCAGTGCGTCGGTCTCAGACTTGGGTTGGGACATTTTAATCCATGTTTTTGTATCATGAACCAGGGAAATTACTCTCCATGCAGCTTTGTTCATGCCAAAGCTCTGCTCATACATTCCTTCTCCCTTCTGGATGGTAATCTGCCACTGAGCTACGCCTCATTCATTTGAGACTTTTCCAAAACTGTTGTCAAGAGATCGTTCTGGCTGTTAGCAGAGCAGAATGCACCTTCACCACGAGCAGGCAAATCTAAGTAAGACGGAACAGTACCTTACAAGACCAGTGTGAAGTTAGGCAGAAAAGCTCCTGGGGACAGCCTTACAGCCAGAGACCCAACTGTCCTACGTTTGCTGCCACCTGGAGGCTCTGCTGCCACATTTGTCCTGGAAATTCAGCCACAGATCTGGGGGGAGAATCCTACTATAGATCTACAAACAGGAGCTGATAGAGTCCATCAGGGGTTGCACAAGCAGCAGCTCCCTGCCCTGTTCCTGGTGTACCGTCTCCCTGAAGCGGTTACCTACCTCCTCCCTTGCTTTTACCCCTCTCCGGCCTCTTGCCCGGGCAAGAGAGAGAAGCAGCTTTGGTTGTGGTGAGGCTGTGCATGTGCCAAGCCACTGCTTCCAGCTGGAGGGAAAATAAGTGGCTAATGTGACAGAAATAGAGAAGTCCCTTTATTTTGAACTCTAACCAAACTCTTCGGAAAGAAAAAGTTGGGGAAAAAATCATTGTACCATGGAAAAGTATAGAAGGACTGCGTCACAATTTAAACATCAAGCCCATTCGAGCAGCCCGAGTTAACCTGGGCATTACCACAGCCCCACAGTAAAGGTACAACTCCGGGTTTCAGCCTTCCCCCTTGTGACCGTCCCTGACCTTTAGGCGACGCGCGCGTTTCTCACAAGCTTTGGATCTTTCGCTGCCCCACCCAATACAGGCTGTAAGAGCAGCGGGCTCTTGGAGCGTTCGCATGCCAACCAGCACTCGGGGCTGGTACAAGACTGAATTTGCTCGTGGCCCTTCTGTAAGGTTACTTCACGACGTAGGACACCTATGATACAACCTACAGGGTGCTCACCTTTGAGTTTTAGGTGGCATGAATGAAAAGTATTGTTTGGCTCTGTAATCAGTCACGCTTTCGTTTCTTCTTGTCCCTGCAGTGAAGTTAGAAAGGTTTGAAATACCCATCAAAGTACGTTTAAGCCCTGACCCGTGGACCCCAGAGACCGGGTTAGTAACAGATGCTTTCAAGCTGAAAAGGAAAGAACTGAAAAACCATTACCTCAACGACATTGAACGAATGTACGGAGGCAAATAAACAAGTTACGTCGTGCAGGTGGTTCCTTCTCACGCCTCAGTTTTGGATGTCTGTGTATGCTGTAGATGTCACACGTTCAGAAGATACACCAATGGATGAATGTCTCTGTAATCCTTATCGAGTACAGCAGAGTATCTTAGACTCCAAATTCTTAATTATTAGCAGATTAGACACTGATGATCTTCAGAGTTTCATGTGATCATCTCCAGTTTCGAGACAGACATCATTATGTCAAGCAGCACCACCAGGTAATTTTATTATTGTTTCTCTAGCACATCCAGACTGCTGGCAACTTCTCTTCATTCCTTCTCAAGTCTGGCCTATGCTTCAGAGAGAAAAGTGACAGAACTGTGATGATTCTTCTGTCACACCAAGTACTGACAGGGAAGAAAGGGTAAAGCCTACCCGTCTCCATCTAAAACCAAACCAACATGAGTCAAGAACCTGCTAGAGATCACCAATAATGCTCTGCCTGAGAAGGGGTGGGTTCCCCTGCACATCGGTATCTTGAATACTTACAGTGCCTAAAAAAGAATACAGAGCACACGTGCTGAAATAAAGGTGAACGGAAAAGCTTTCCAAACCCAAGTTATTTGAAATTTCCTTCAAGACCATTGAATTAACCATTTCAACTTCCATCTCACCACGTCTGTGTTCACTCGCCGCTGTGTTTCAGTTCAGGCGGAGCTTTCCGCGAGGACACGCGGCATATTCCAGGCTCGCCCTGCCGCGGGAGGCTCCGATGAGAACTCGGACTGCGGAACGCGCGTCGTGGCTGGCAAACAGCTGCCCCATCGCCGGGCCCTTGTCTCCAGGGAGACCAGAACTCGAAGGAGTTTCGGGGTTGTTTGTTGAGGGGTGATTGGCGGTCTTGTTTTTAAGGCACTGATCCTCTAGACCTTCGCATCCATGTGAGTAATGGTACGGGTTGCCTGGCTGTCGTTTAGAGGGTCGGCGCCTAACTGGTCCGGTCACTTCATGGAAGGGCATTTCCGTTCACCTTTGAAACGCGGTAAGCGCAACGCGGCAGCCGGAAACCAACAGCAGCTTCCCCGGGGAGCCTCACCGAGTTCTTGCTGAGAAGCGGTCTGTGCCCAGGGGCTCTGCTCTGTGGAACTTGTTAAAAAGGGACAAATCACTCTTTACAGAAAACCATCATCAAACTCTTATTAACTGGAAGTCATAGATGTGAAGAAGGAGGAAGATCTAATTTAATAATAGTTCATCATTCTGTGTGCAGAATCCTGTACTGTGTCTTCTTTGGAACTGTAACTGAGCTCCTGCATCCCTGCTCGCTCTTCACACGTGAACCATGAACGCTGTAAACAGTGGAGCCTCTCGATACTGTTCCACTTTGCACTTTCTTAATGGTTTTATATATGTTGCTTACATTTTGTACAACTGTGGCCCTTGACTGCTATATATTACCGGTTCATTTTAAAGTATTTATAGATTTCTATTCATAATATCTGTGTTGTGTATATGATGGTTAAAAAGAAAAATTATTTGGTATTGTCACTGTACAGAGAGTAAAAGATTTTGTACGCCGCTTCTCCTGGGCACACGAGCTTGCGATTTCGGGGCGAGTTCTTCCTTTATCGCATGTATGTGTATTTTTATCTTTCCTCCAATTCAAACAGATTTGGGAAAAAATAAATCACAGCTGTACACGCATTAACTGAACCGTCCCTTCTCCCTGGGACCAGCTTCAGCGTTCCCCCTGCGTAACTTTCTCCAGGCAGGCCAGAGCACTGCCAGCTCATCCTCCAAGAACCCCGAGGGCAGAGGGAGAAAGCAAACCCAGTAGATAAAGCTGACTGCACCTGCTTGTGCAGGGAACTAAAAGGAACGAGGAAATAGCTTTTCCAGGAAAGCAAGTTATTTTTTTAAGGCACATTCAGTTTGTGACGACAGGGAAGACCGCCCGCCCCAGTAGCGACTTTTTCCGTTAGGATGGAGCCACGTTACCCATTTTTCCATGTTTAAAATTGGTCACTGTCGAACAGCCCTCGGGCAGCCTGTTGGCATCGCACCAGTGGCGTACGGTACGACAGCTCCTCACACTCGGGTCTGCCAGCAGCTCTGCGGTGGCTGGTTTTAAACCACGAGTGCCTTTGTGTGAGATGTACTTTATCTAGAGTGCAGGGGCCTTCCGTGCCTCGGCTGACCGAGGGCTGCCGTTTTCCCTACGTGCGCACACGTTTCCAAAGCGGAATGCAACTAAATGCCTCGGCAGGGGTGTGCTCCGAAAGGGCTGTGTCTGTAGTTACTGTTCGGTGTCTCTGAAACGCAGCAAACCTACAGGAACCTCGAGGGCAGCAGCAGATGGTGAAGACAAAGCCTGGGGTGGGCCTGGGTCTTCCTTGGAGAAACAAGCTAAACGTGGGCGCGCTGCAAAAGGCAGCGGAACACGCCGGGCGGTTTTGGGGAAGGGTGGCACCAGGCTGCCTTCAGCTACAGGCATCATCTGCAAATGCAACACTTGCCGTTTGAGAACAACTTTATCCTTATTTTTGATGAATTCTAAATCCCTTGTGACAGAGCTTGTGGAGAAGGAAGAAGCAGGGTGAGCGGTGTCCTCCTCACCATTAAAAAGAAGGAGCTAGGATGCAGAGACAGCGCACGGCTGCAGAGCCGTCACGGGAGCCTTGAGCTGATGCCCCGCACTTGACTGGAAGGACATACAGCAGGGGTTCACTTACTGTATGGGAAGGTTCCAGAAAGCTCCAAGTAGCTGCAAGTTCTTCAGAAAGCAGGTTCAGCATTTAAAATTACCCTCTTAAGCCTGAGAATCGAGTTCAAAGAGGAAGAAAATCCAGGTTGGGCTGACTGATACAAGATTACATTTAGGCCCTCTACTTCAGAAACCGTGGGGTATCTAGAGGAGGCCGGAGCGAAACGACACCAACGGCGGGACTAGAGAGTTGGTCTGTGAAGGAAGGTTAGAGTTGAGTTTCACTGAAGAGGAGCGGCACGTGACAAGCCACGTTACCCGGACGGAGGCACAGAAGAACTGTCGCCCCCCGCGAGGAGGAACAGAGTAAGTTACACCAAGTGACACAGGATTAGACACTCTAAAAGAAACAGAACCTTAAAACAATCCTTACTAAGTACCGAACTAGTTGCTCGCGAACACAAGGCCGTAGAGCCTCCGAGTCGATGACGGTTTAACGCCTGTCAGGAACAGCCCTGACACGGAACCTGGGTGGGGGCTGGGAGAGCTGGTTCCTGTGCGTAACAGAGCAGTAACGCTGCGTGTAACTGTACAACGTCCTTGCAGGGCTCACGAGGGGAGAAAAGCACAAGCAGGGAAAGTAGAGAGTTATTCCCCACGAGCAGGTGAAGAGGTGTTTAACGGACCCAGCGCAATTTTAGTGCCCACTGCGGCATCGGAGAGCTACAGCAGCTTTCCAGTGCCTGGGGGGGACTTTTTCCAAGGGCAGGCGTCTGATCCTTAGAGTCCCCACCTGCGCTTTTAAACACCACCACCAAGCAGCCCCGAGCCCGCTGCGTTTTTCACCTGTGCTCCCCTTTTGAGCCACCCATAACCCGGTCAGCGATAACCACTGAGATGCCAGGAGTCCCCACGCGCGCGTTTCGCCTGCGGATTTCTGCGTCTACCCTCGCTTCTCTCACAGGGAGTGACCACCACCCCCGCGCTATCCCATTATTGCCAAAAAGCCAGATGCTGAGTGTGACCTCCCGTCGCTCCAAGGCCCCATCTCGTATCGTGACCACGAAAGCAGGAAGATGGCACACCGGTTTTCCTTTTTGAAAGCATAGGCAAGGCAAGGGAAGCAAATGTAGCACTCCTGGATCTGAAGCGGCACCGCACGACTAACAGGCTTGTGCTGAGCCGAGTTCAGAGTCAAAGCAGCGCGGCTGCGGCTCTGGGTAGCGAGTGCACATGCTGTTCCTGCACTCAGCCCCAGCCCTGGGAGGCATTGCTGGGGGTGTTGTTTGTTTGGAGCAACGCAGTGTCTAACCTAAACCTTTCCTCTTGGATACAGACCAGCCTGTTACCGCTGGCACTCCCCCAGGGAGCAGCACGCGGAATGGCTCGCTCTGCTCTGCGGCTGCCTGCCCTACTTTACTTTCTGTCCTTCGAGTCGAAGCAAGCCCAGCCTCTCCTGCTTTTATAAGACGTAATTGGGGTCATTTAACCAAGGCCACACCGTCCCCATGTTCAAAATACGTGACCCACCCCACCTGCCTGACGGGGCTTGGGGAATCGCCTCCCAGAGCCCCTAACCTCGCTGCGTTCCAGAGCACTTTGGAGCTTAGCTCTCACCCGGTGACGCGTCCCCGTGTTACTGCTAAACCCCGGCTCTCTGCTCCCAACGCCTGCAGCGGCACCCCAAGGACACCGCTGCGAGGGGTGGAAGCACGCGACGGTGCTCTGCACACCAGCGCCACACCACAGCCCAACCGAACTGCTGACACGCCAGCCGGACGCGGTTTTAACCTACGCACAGCCCACTCTCAGCTTTTACTGGCAAGCCATGTCCTTACTTTCAGAGGAAAGATGCCAAGAAAATGCCTCACGCCACCAAAAACCACAGTGTAGAAAAGCAAATTAAAACCTGGCACTGTGTGGGGAAAAAAGCATCTATCATAACGCTGGTTTTCTGCTGTCTTGAGATTCTAAATGGATATTCAGCCCTTCCGATGGCGGTAAAAGCTATAATCTATTGTATGTTCTATTTTACTTCCACTGCCAAAACCCGTGCTTAAGAGAGACAGGATTTAGTAGGATGATCACGAGAGGAAAACCCACCACCCGTACACAGGAGAAACGTCTGGCTGCCTAGGGAGCGACCTCACTGGTACCCTGCAGCTTGTAATTGATGTCGGCGGGGCAGGAGATAGTAACTATCCTTAAACCAGAGGGTTTCCCAGTTAGATTTTCCCGGTGGAGAAACAAGAAATAAACTGCAAATCTCAAGGGGAAAAAAAAAAAAGAGAAGGCAGAATATATTGTGGCAGAAACATCCTGTCAT